GCACATCGGACACGATGCATCCATCTCTTCATGGTTGGCAGCGAGCGTGTTGATCCAAGCCTGAAGGCATTGCTCGCCTATATAATGACCACAGATCGTCTTCACGGCTGGCTCCACATCATCTCGGTCAATCTGATCGGAGAAGCTGCGTCCGCATATCTCACACTCTTCGAAACCAGCCGCTACTGCTTCGTCCGTGGCGCGTTCCGTGAAGCCTTGGACGTACTTCATATCTCCCATATCCATACCGCTTTCGATAGTATGAGCCGAAGTTTCACCCAGAGATTTCCACTCGAGGATAGTCAGATGGCCGATATGCAAGAACAAGGCCGACCATTCCTCGGATGAGGGTAGACATATGAGCTCATGTTCACATGGGGCCAACATCCACTTCTTGTCTTGTGGTACAATCAGACGCTGCTCAGCTGGATCGTCCTGCCAAGTCCCCTGACGTATGTAGCGTGGATAACCTCGGGCAGGGAATGTATCCAGGTTCCTCTCGGCCTTTTTCATCAGCCACAGTATGCGCGCGATCACCAATGTACGTCCGGTGCATTCTATATCGTGATCCGGACGGGCTGGAATATATGCAGTAGTATCGTAATCCGGTAGGGCAAATAGCTCCTTCCCCTCTTTGGCGTATCTGAGCTTACGCTCGAGGCTGTGAAGTTGTCGTAATGACTTTAGATATTTGTCGATGAGAGCTTTGTTCCACTTCTCTTGTAGGAAAAGGATTGAACGGGACTCTGTTAGATCCATTAGGATTCTCGTCTTCAATTTTTGAATGTGGCCGTCGCAAATCTGGATCGCGTCGGTAAATTGATCGAGCATCTTGACGACATCTTCATATGCAGACTTCAGCTGTGGCTGTGTCATTCCCTCGATGTTTGTTCGTTCGAGAAGGCACTCGACTCCTGTATGTATCTTCTTACACTCATCAAATAGAGTGCTTTTTAGAACCCGCACAGATGCCTCACTTTCGTCTGCTGCTTTGAGGGACATGGCTGATGGTTCGCTCATATGTACGGTTGAGGGTGGGTTTGGTGATCTGTGGGGAAGTCACTCCGAGGCACTGTTATTATACAACAGAGATTCCGCAAGTAATCAGGCAGCAGCAAATGATAGGGACTGAATCACTGTACCGTCTGTGAAAAGACAATGTCAGCGTTTTGCCAATCGTAAGTCTTTCGAGGCATGATTATGCATTCACCTTACAGCAGAACACCAATATTTCAGCTGAACTTCATTCTCTTAGTCGCATGCTCCTTCGCAACCAGCACCTCTTCTTTGAGAGTTTCACTGCACTGCCAAGCATTCCAACTACTTTGAAATTCACCAACGAACAAAATGGTGGGCCACGACGAACTAAATGAGACCGAGCTCCGCGTCCCTGATCCCTTCAGTGTTTGCGAAGTCATCCGCATGCAGATCGACGCCTTCCCCGATGAATTCATCTACGGTGGCAAGTTGACTCCCGAAAATCTACCTTTAGTCTACGACCGTAGCGTCAAGCTACTCGAAGATATGAAGGCTGCTCTAAGTGAAGCCAGGACCAAGGTCCCGGTGGAAAATAGGCATATGCGGGTAGAGCATTGGATTTGGATGCAGCGGTATGAGGAGGCCATGGCGACTATGAAGCAAACACGCAACAAGCTACGGGATCACTACAGTCGGGAGATGCTCTTGATACTTAAACGTGAGTCTTTAAGTGGGAATTCAGGCATTCTAGAGCCCTGTGGAGCGGCGATGTATCCCAAGAGACGGAGAGTGCTTTGGCGCCGTGTTCGCAAGACGGCAGCTGGTGTTTGCGAGACGGCAATTGATGTATGCGAGACGGCAATTGATGTATGCCATTGCTTACTGCTAGGTGGCTAGATAGCGTGAATTAGAGTCTTGATAAATCCAAAACTCAAATCCTGACGATTATTGAACATTTATATCGCGTTGAATGCACGCCGCAAACGTGCGCTATAACTCTTTCGGATCATGTTGTCGGTGGGTGCGATTCAATGACGAAGTCTTCACTTCGTTTATTCACTGATCATGAATATTGATATCTAGCAAAAGCGATCTCCCTCAGCCAGAAGCATAAAGCCTCTTAGCTTACCTCTATGAGGCAATATCTACCAGGCTCGATACGAACAAAATTCCCAAAGCCCACGGAAAAGCCTTGGTACTGCCGGACACCTTGCTCGTTCTCAAGACTACATCTCAGCATATCAGGAGCCTGAACGCCGGCATCAGCCATGGACCCCAGAATAGTCATAATGATGCGACAGATGCAGCTGGAAATGCAGATGAGAGCGCAGTTGGAAGAGGCGCAAATGCAGGGCATGCCGCTAAGACAACGACTGCAAATGGCGGAACAGCTGCGCATGAGAGCGATGATGATGATGGGAGCTCAGCGCGAGCAAATGATGGAGGCGCAACAAGAGCAGATGATGATGGCCGCATATCGACAACAGATGATGGCAGAGCAGATGCGCATGGCTGGCGGTGGTGCAGGAGGGCCGATGCCACCGGGCGGCATGCCTCTCCCGCGGGGCCCGATGTTTTTTCCAGGAGGTATGGGCGGGCCGGGACCCGATCCTCGAAATCATCCGCGAGCTGAATCTCCGGACAATACTTCGGATTCCGACGGGCCTCGCGACGCTGGGCCCGGTGGAGGGTCGCCAAGACGCGCTGGTGTTCGAAACGGACGACCTGGAGTTGTGTATGGAGACTGGGAGGTTGAGGAAGTAGAGGATGAGAAGTAGAGAGGGTTGCAGGCATCGGCAATGCTGCTCGTAATGGTCTGCGCATTTGAGTCTGACGTATTTCGTAGGGGCAGATTGGTATATCATGCTGATCCGACGCTCGAAGGTGTATGAAATCTTGACAATACCTAGGTAGCTAATACACTCTTCATGAAATTTTACCGTTGCAATTGGGTACGGCTATACCTGCGCAATTGGCCTCCATGCACGTGACAAATGGAAACTTGAACTGGCTACGGAGCTTGAAAATAGTCCACGAGTCTTTGGTCTTCCGCAGTGCTTCAAGTCGAAATCCATGGTTGCGGTCTCATTAAGCTCTGGGGGTGGGCTTTGCCGCGCCACGAAGGATCAGGGGCTGTGATGATTACTGATACTAAAGTGCCGCTGTGCCGTGGTAAAGTCGAAGAGTCAGAAGAAAAGCACGAGAGCAGTGCCTGCGACCAGATCGCGATAGCTCGTGTCTCTACCCACTGTTCTTATTCCCATGTGGAAAGTAAATCGCGAAAGATCATTGTAACCGGTGTCGAACGACAGGTGGTACTGGAGGAGAGGATGGATTGCGCAAGGGGTTTGTAATCGTAAGTGGGGCCGCCGCCTTCTCCGCTTCCCAAAGAAGGAACAACCACCGCAAGCGGGCAGAATTGCCGGTCTGGTACATCATCCTACGAGCTTACCTATCACCTATGTAGCCGACGCGATTATATAGCATTGAATTGAGGGCGATGCCATACATTACATCTCTGATACATTCTGACATCTAAAATGCATTCCGCGAACGGCCACACCAATGGTCACCAGCCACCAATCGGACCTCGGCTATTCTCCGTCAAGCAACCACCATCACTGGACGAGTTCAAGAAACTTACAACGGAGTCTGTTCCCTGCCACTACCCACTAGCAAGTAAGATCGAAGCGAATGTGCCGATATACGATCTACCCGACTATGCTTCGCTCTCTCCAGAACAACGTTCAGCATTACAGGATGAGTTCTACCACATCTTGCTTTCCGGACCTGGTGTGTTCGTCACCAAAGGTCTCTGCAAAGACATGTCTCTTCTTCAAAACGTAAACAACGTGTATGCAAACATCATTGCAGAAGAGAAGAAAGTGGCCGGCAAACGGGGCGACCACTTTGCTGGAGCCGGCGCGAACGATCGCATCTGGAACTCCGTTTCGAAACACTGCGAAAAAGACCCAGAGTCATTCGCACAGTACTACTCCAACCCGTGGTTACCGCTCATATCTGGAGCATGGCTCGGCCCGCACCACCGCCTCACAGCACAAGTCAACATTGTGAAGCCAGGCGCGAAGGCTCAGATTTCGCACAGAGACTACCACATTGGCTTCCAGGACAACGAATCTTGCGCAAAGTTCCCGAAGGCGATGCAAGTCGCGTCGCAGTTTCTCACGCTACAAGGAGCTGTCGCACACTCAGATATGCCAGTGGAGAGCGGGCCGACGCGATTGCTGCCGTTCAGCCAGAAGTTTGAAGAAGGATACATGGCATACCGCTTGCCTGAGTTCCAAGACTACTTCCTTGAGAAGTATGTATCTGTGCCACTAGAGATGGGGGACGGTCTCTTCTTCAATCCAGCGCTGTTCCATGCCGCAGGTCAGAATGACTCCGCCGATGTCATGCGTTCTGCCAATCTGCTTCAGATCTCATCAGCCTTTGGTAAGCCGATGGAATCTATCGATACGCATGCACTTGTTGAGAAGACCTGGGATGGATTGTTGGTAATTTATAAACAGCATGGCCTAAGCGATGAGCTCAAAGCACTCGTCAGCGTTGTCGCTGAAGGATACCCTTTCCCGACCAATCTTGATAGAAGGGTACCTGAGACGGCTGGCATGGCACCCGAGAGCGAGCAGGATATTCTGTTGAAGTCGCTCAAAGCCGGCTCTAAGAAGCAAACAGTGTTGGACACATTGACGAGGATGCGAGAAGAGTCGAAGGCTTGATGCTGTATTGTGTGTTCTCGCTGAAGCGTTCACATAGATGCGCGACATCACGTTCCAGCAACAATGTCTAAAATGTCAACTCTATCAAACGCTGCACACTATTCCCTTGTGACACTGTACTTTCCATTTCGCAGACCCTGGCGTTGACCAGCGTCAACGATTACAGCAAACACCTGGAAGCTGCTTTAGTTTGTCGACACGTCTCGCTCCTCTAACGCCTGCCACTATCCCCAAGACGTCAAAGTCATGACTTTTCCCCTAGCAACCCTCCTTCATCCCGTCATGTCACAAGCCCTAGCCGACGCCGAGCAGAAGTCGAAAAATGGTGTTCTAGAGATTCTACCCGGACACCGAAATATGGCTTTACGACCCGAAGAGAATACTAGCGGCCCTCTCGTAGTCATCACACCTACGTCCCCTATATTACCGGAACAAGCCGGGCTACAGCCGCCACCATCTCCGTCTATGAGCCCAGCAAGCGACACACACACAACTACTTCCGTAGCCCTCACACCAGACGCCGAATTCCTCATCATCGAAGCCGAACTCGCAACCTGTCAACTGACACGCGAAGCGCTACAAAGACGCGAGTCTGCACTTCAAGAACGCAAAGCAGAGATCGTACGAGAAACAAAGATGAGGCTTAACAAGGAGGTGCGAGATCTAGCAACGCAAGGCCAAGAAGAAGAGGTCGATCAAGGACTGTTCATGCGTGATGTGCAGCGGAGAGTGGAAACGAAGTTGAAGGGGATAGGAAGAGAAGATGAAGCTTCACCGGAGAAAGTGGACGAAGCAGACAATGTGGAGGAGAAGAAAGCTGTCCCCATAAGTGCACCAGAGCGGAGGAGGCTTGCGCGTCTTGCACTGTTGAAACAAGACCCTAGGCTAGGAAGATGATATTGATATGAATGCTTGACTACGTCTCCCGCGCCTATGTGCTCACAATGCTAGTCATGTCACGCTGATATGCTGGTGCACTCATAATTACATCTCTCCTAGTACGGCACTCAGTCAAGAGTGAAGTACTCCGCAATCTCTGGGAAAAGCCTGCCCATCCTCTCCGCTGTGATACTGTCCACTTTGAGGATCGGGTCGAGTTTGTACGTGAGCCACAGTATCTTCATGTTGAGACAGGTCATGGCGCGGGCTTGTACCGAGACTTCGCCTATTGTATATTAGCAAAAATGAGGGATATAGCGGGACTGCCTTACGTCGGTGATCTGCAGCAGTGTTCTCGATGATCTTGTTTAGATCCATAATCTCGTCTTGCAGTTTTGTGAGTTGCTGACTGTGGTGATGGTTTGCATCGCGTTGTGCAGTGGTGGGTGCGACTGGGTGCCCTGAAGAGGACATTGTGTGCAGATGGGTGTTTTTGGATAGACTGGATTGGGAAAAGAATCGAATGTATTGCGTTGATGTTGCAGCGGGTTATCGTATCGCATCAAAGACTCATATACCACTTCGAAGTCGAGCGCTAACACTGACATGAAGGCGGCAGAGGCTAGACACAATGTGAAGACTGGATGATTGACCACACAAACTCTTTTACTCCGCTGTACTGATCGACATGCTTGTGGATGATGCTTAGATGTTTGACTGTACTTCAAGTATAGCATCGCTGGCCGAGTAGCGTTCGCTCCGTACTGGAATGCTCGTGTATTGATCAGTGTGCCGTCCAGCTAGGCAAACACCTTCACCCTTCCATATCGCCAAGTACGCATATATCCTCTTGCCATAGTTGTCATCAACAACTACCATCACTCTACTACACTTCTTGCGCGACAAGCCTTGACAGATATCCAGCGCCGAAGCATCACTCACTTGGCAGCCACCTCGATCTGAACCTGCCACACCAGATCATCAAACTCAAGTCGCCAAGCATGTCACACAACACCCCCGACAACCTCCTCAAGCTCGCCGCCGACCTGAACAAGCTCGGTGGAGAACTCTGCGCCATCGGCGGCAAACTAGCCACTGCCGCCACAGCTCTAGAGCAAGAAGCCGCGAATGTTGCTCTTGCCAATGCGCAACGATGGGGCGTCGATGTACAAGTATGCTTTCACTGAAAACGGGGTTTGAGGGTCAGAGTACAATTGATACTGACAACATGCGCAGGTCGCTGTGAGAGCTGGTCCGCATGGTCAGTGGGTGGGCCAAGGGAACGAGATTGTCGTTAATGGAGTGAAGAAGTAGTGGTATTGTTGAGCGAGAGATGCGGAGGGAGCTACGGCATGCGCATATGGAAGGCGTGGGGTTAAACATCAGTCAGGCGCGACGGTGCGCACCGAGCTGTGACGACGTGCGAAAGGAGAAGCGAAGAGCAGTGACAACATTCCTTGTAGATCAGTGTAACATTATCTTCATTCCAAGATTTTCTGGCTCCTTTGCGACCATCATCATGTTGCATAGAAGCGAACGTAGATTGTGGGTAAGACTTCTCCCCGCATGTCGGGTCCCATTACCCCTCATGCCTCTTTATGGCTGGGTCCGGAATCTAGCGCTGCAGAGTTTTATCAGATCATCAGATAAGATGCGACACCGGATGCCCGAAGAGCCACTCACAGTCCAAGACCAGCTCCGAACCATCTCCAGCCTATATCGCTCATGTAAACTTAATGTTGTACGCGTAGACATATTCGACGCGACTGGCTGAACCAGAAATGGCGGTCTGTCTTCGGAGCGCGGATGCCCAGATTCGGCGGTGGTGTGATTTCGCCCATGCCCGGAAGTTGACGAGCCAAGCTGCGGAGCTGGGCACGGGCGGACGTACATTCGGTGTAATCCTGAAAAACTTATTTACGGACAGCGGAACTCTGAGGGTCGTCACATGCAGGCAAAGGTGTGAATTGAGAGGATATCATTTGACCCGTAGTTGGGTTCGTTGAAACGTGTAATCATTAGTCTAATTCCGGGCTGCAGTAGCCATGCGATATGATACAGAATGCAAGAAAGTGAAGAGTGTGTAACCGTCCACTCGTCGTTATTCATAGCGACCGTCAAAACCCTCAAGTTGTGTTCTCGTTACGGATGAACGACCATGCGAAACAGGATACAGACACTCTCGCATATCAACGCCGCGGATTGCTGGCGGAACCGCTAAAGGTGGGGTATCTGGCAAAGCAAAGACAGGAGGGCGCTATCAGTGGTCGATATTGTAGTGAGAGACTGCGTCCATCATGGCGTGATCCTCGGCCTTGGTCATGGGCGAGAAAGAAGCTCGGCGCCGTTCCTCGGCCTCTTCGATCAGCGGCGCATGTGGGCCGTCAGACGGGCGGGTCCTGAGAGGACGCTGGGCGTGTTGGAGGGTAGTGAGGATGCTGCTGGCGTCCAGCTCCATCGCGCTGTACATGCCGGGTTCCATAGTGAATGTGTCCCTGCGAGTGTCCTGGCGTCCGAAAGCCTGCGGAACAGGCTTTAGTTGGCGCCAGTCCATGGCATTCGGATCCGTCGAAACTCGACCATCAAGCAGCTTGAAGGCATCGCTACAGCCGACTGTCCGCCCAGTACCCACAGGCGACGAAATGCCGGCGCTCATGTCTATGCTGGTCGATGCCTTAGGTTCCATAATATCGAGCGAGCTGCTCTTGCTTGAGTTGCGCCGTGAGCTCGAAGGGGTTTCCTCGCTCCGGAGCTGAGCGACTCGCTGACACCAGGCTCGCTGCTGGGGGTTTGACTGACAGTCGGCACAAGAGCCAGGCCCGGTCATGGCCATGTTGGGCTTCGCTTCTTCAGCTGAAGAACCACTCTTCATGCGCGTGAGTGAGATGCCCTCGTCGGCGCTGTCAACACGAGCAGGGGGATCGCATATGCAAATGTCCTTTTGTCCCTCACAGAAGCCACAGTCTGTAATCTTGTTGTCCTCCGTCGATGGTGCGAATGTAGATGCGCTCTTGAACTTGTTGGTGAAGTCGACTTCGAACTCGACGTGGGGATGCTTCTCTTGGTCGAATTCTCCTTGGCCGCCGCGAAGTATCCCAGTCATGGACATGCCGTCCATACGAGCCGAGGCCTCGTCCGGGAGTTGCATATCATTGGTGAGGTCGGCGAGACAGGCGCAATGTTCAGGCGTGCAGCGATCGCATCCTGATTGCGTGCTCTCGAACGGTGCGTCGTGGCGTGCGCTACGGATTCGAACGCGGTCCTGCATGGGATGTATGGGAGCAAAGTCGTCCTCGTAATTTGGCGTGCAAACGTCTTCGCCTGCTTTCGCCTTCTGGTACATATTCCTCCACATAATCGTTTGGGCGTCACTTGTGCGTAGACGCTCTGTCAGTATCTGGATTTCTTGTGCTTGAACCCGTGCTCGGTCTTCCAGAAGCTGCTTTTCCCGTAGCCATTGGTTGCGGGCATCGTTGAATTCTGTACTGGTCTGGTTGACCTGTTCGAGCAGCATCTGGACATTCTTCTGCTTGCGTTCACGGAAGTTGCGCTGCGAGATGCGGTTCTGGGCCTTGCGCTTGGTCTCAGGCTCCGCGGTGGCAGGCTTGCGGCCGGGCTTGGGTCGGGGCGGGATGGAATGTATCATGCTCGTAGGCCCCCCGCCCGACTGGGAGGGGCCATTGGCTTGCGTGTTGACGGACAACGTGGCGGCGACGTGAGGGCGTGGAGGGGACCTTGGTACGAGTTCTGGGTCGGTGTCAGTTGTGGAAGTGGGCAAGGGTCGATCACGCGGTTGGACAAGTCTGGCAGCCAACAGCTGCGGCGAACTGCTGGTACGCGGGACGCGCGGAAAAAGCAATCACGTTACTCACGGCGGATGGAGCTGCGGCGGTCTTGTTCAAAATCGGCAGTGGTGCAGAAGGTGCTTCCCGAAGACTCGGCAGGCGAGGGCGCAGGACTGCAATCTGAGCCAGGTGTGGCGGCATTGTTCGACGAGGCCATGTTGCGCGGCGGAGCGTAGGGTGCGTTGGGGTCCTGGTTATCAGATGGAGATCCTGAGTTATCAGATCAGCGGGCGTCTTATCCCGAGCAAAGCCGAGTCCGGAGCGGAACGGATCAACTTACCGGCGGCGCTAGGGCGGCGGACATAGTTGAACTCGCTGGGGAACGGAAACCATGCCTGGTACCCGTTTTCTGTAAAAGACTCGTACTCCATGATGGATGGGCAATCAATTCGGAGATGTTAGAAATGTTAGCGAACAAAATTGTAAGAGATGGGCAGTCAGTCTTTATAAGGCATCTGTCTCCCTTAGCATTCGTTACTTCCCCACTACCAGTCACCCAGAGTTAGTCGCTACTATCATGAATTAACGGTCGCACGTGGTTTCCTCCCGAATTAATGCCTCACAAATATGACTGAACTAGGGTAGTCAGTGCAGTCAACCACGGCATGGTCCAGCCCCCACTCCAAGCATTTGAGCATATTTGCCAGGCCTCCCTTTTGCAATCTGGAATTACTGGCAATTGTTTCGGGCTTCACGTCACCCTAGGGAAAACTGAACACCTGGAGCCTACATCGCCGTCAGGTCAGCTACCTTGCATGTATTTATCTTGAAGTAGTCTCCAGACATGTTCAAGTTCAGTCTGGGCTATTCAAAAGGTATCATTACAACTTACTCACATCATATGACCACATGGCTATGATCTTAGGCAGCAACACAATTAAATGAAGAAAAGGCTCATTGGAGACACATCCAGGGAATGCGTCACAGCAGCGAATGCAAAAGATAACCTCTTGTAAATCCGCAAGCATTCTGGCATGGTGGGCCGCACCGAAAGCACGCAACACGATCGGCAAAGTCATGCTCTGAGAAACTGGAGACGAGTTACTGGCTACAGCTTTCACAGATCCACTTCGCGCTCTACGCCCTAGCGAGAACCATCAAAAAACCCTGCAGGCCCGTGGCTTTGGAGAGAAAGATCGAGTCACAAGAAATTCAGGGTGCATTGGCCATATA